AATGGTAAATTCGTCATTATTCCACTTGAAATAATTAAAACCAAAACAAAAAAAATTAAAAGGAACATAGAATTGTTCATCTTCTTCAACCTACCCCATGCCACTCCACGCCACCATACCCCAAATCCCATACCCCCCAACCCAACACAATCCAACTCTCAAAATGTGGCGGTAGCTGGAGAGCACTATTGCGCTCACTATTAATCCTAAATGGCAATAGGCTTGTCCCAAAACTAAGTATTGAAAGGAAATTTTTTGACAAAAGGGATTCCGATTCAATTGGACTATTTGAAGCACAATTAAGTAGCACTGCATATCAGCTTCTGGGCATGGCATATTTAGCCTTTTTACCTAAGTTTTTCTCCTGTCGATCGAAATGGTTCAATACTCCATGGGTGGTGTTAAGGGATATATATCCCACATCAATAAATGATGTTGACATAGATCAATTAATAAAGATCTTGAGCTATTCCTTTCAACAAGGTTGACATTTTAAGATGGAATCCTAATTTTTAATATGGTATCAGAGCCCATTATACTCCAACGAGCGATCGATCCCATTAAAACTCCAAAAGGGAGCACGTAGATTTAAAAATTGGTCTGCTCAAATGAGCCACCATCTTGCGGGGGCGTGTTAAGGGATATATATCCCACATCGATAAATGATGTTGACATAAACTAATTAATAAAGATCTTGGACTACTCCTGTTAACAAGGTTGACCTTTTAAGATGGAATCCCAATTCTTAATAGGTGAGAATATTGTTATCAACAGTCGTTGCATTGGGTATTTCTTATATGAGTTACAGGGTGCTATTGAAGCTGTCGACTGTGGTGCTTATGTGCGTAATTCTGATTGCATTTTTGGTGGTTATAATGGCTATAGCAACCAGCAAACTCTTTCACAACGAAATGCCTGTGGACTGACGACGACGATGAGTGGTGGTGGGTGTGGAAGAAGGCAGCGATGGTGCCGAGTTGATTTGGTTTTGATTTTGTGGTTGGATTAGGTTAGGGGGATAAGGATTGGTTTAGGGGTGGTATGGTGGGGTAGCGTGGGGTAGGTTGAGGAAGATGAACATTTCTATATTCATTTTAATTTTTTTCTTTTTGGTTTTAATTATTTTATGTGGAATAATGTTGAATTTACCATTTTTCCCTCTTTAAGATTTGGTCAAAAGATATTTTTTTAGTCAACTAACGGCTAATCCATCCATTTGGACTTCGAGTGCTAATTTTTCAAAGGTTTGGAATCTTTAGTGGTACAAAAAGGTAAAGTCTGCTAAAAACTCAAAGGCTTGGGACCGCTGCTGCAATTTGTTAGCCCAAGAATAACTAACCAAGAGGGGAGTGAATTTGTTTTTGAAACTTTTTCGACACTTAGTCTCAAAATAATACAATACACAAGATATGATTGCAAAACATAATACTAGAATTAAATATGCAAATTCGATAACTTAATTCAAGTATGAATATAGTACAATATAAATGACAGTGTAAAGTAAAGTGCGATAATGTAAAGATAACAAACCAATTTAATGGGGTTCGATACATAATGTGTTTTACGTCCCCGTTATCAAGTTCTCCGTTACAAGCAATGCCAAATGCACTATAATAGTAACTTACAACAAGGGTTAAGGAGTACCAATTTTTAAGTGACTTACAACAAGGAGCACTTATTCTTAGGTGACTTACAATAATGAGCACCTACCCTTAAGTGATTTACAACAAGGAGCACTTATCTTTAGGTAACTTATAACAAGGAGCACATATCCTTACAATCGAGTTTTCACAAGGCTCTCGAAATCGTCAAAATATAAGCGATAATTTTA